ATTAAAAAAAGTAGGTACATAGATACACTTGTTAAGGGTTTAAATGTCTGCTTTTCTTTTTCTGTGTTATCATTTAAGAGTCAGTGACTCCTTTTCTTTAGATATTAGATAATTTTTGTCATTCATGTATTTGTCTTGCCCCGCCACGATTAGCTTTCCAGCTATTTGCAGGCAAACTATCTCATTTCTCTTTTTCGTACAAAGAACAAAGAATAAATGTCAGAAATAAATGTCAGTAACCGAACGCCGGTTATGAAGATTGACGATACTTTCCAGCCATAGATTAGGATTTGTGTTAAGAAACAATTAACGACTGATTGTTCGACTGAAATATCTGACATTATCAAATAGTGTCCGAAGAGATAGAAGTAGGAGAAATGGAGGTTTGGTCTGTTCCTTCGTGCATTTTTCACCTACCTTTCCGGAGGAAATTGGAAAGGGATAGTCTTTCATACGACCTTATTACTTTAATTTATGATCCAGATGAGGAACATTTCTGCAAATTTATTTTGAAACAACATGTTATGTGTGAACTAGTTTTCGAATTATTTGACTTAATTGTGGTTGTATTTTTTGAGTTTGATTGAAATGTCTTTGGAATAAGTGAACGCATGCATCCCATTTCTGATTCAGAAAACCTTTCGTATGATAAACTTTACTGGAGTGGTTATAGAGAATCCAACCTTCCTGGGGGATAACCTGGGTTTGGCGAACAGGAAACAAAGCTACCCACCCACTGGAACACATCCTTCTTTAAGATCTGTCCCGGTATAAAGATAGAGCAGCAGTTCAGGTTCATTGTCATCAACAAGCAGGCTGACTCTATGTACTCATTGATCGCTGAAGGGAAATATCGCAACACATCTCTGGGACATGCGTGGCTCGGTGCAGATGGCTCCAACGTAACAGGGAAGGGTTCAATGCTGTTTGTGAAAGCGGGGCATCTTCAGCCAGAATTTTATTTGTCAGTAACGACGCGAAAGACTGCTATGCGTGTGACTCAAGAATTGGATTTGGTACAGCAGGATACCCTGATGATCTGAACGCATTTGGCAACGCGGCAAAGTGGGGTGCAGATAATGGAGACAAATTCATCAAAGTTATATGATACATCTTAGTGCAATGAAACCAAATCATGGAAGAAATACAACGAAAAGTTCATCAATAAGATAGGAGTGAGACACGGTGTAGACGATTGTCATTCCCGCTCGTTTCACTATGACTTACATATATTCTTCATATTTTTTACTTCTAACGGATTTGTTGAGTTGCGTTACAACATTTTAAGGGCCAGTCGTTACTTAGGTTGGGAGGAGGGGGGGCCGCACGTGGAGTCAAGGGTATTTTCAGTATTATAATCCAAATATCATTGTGTTTCATTTTGAATATTCTCGCTTTTACCCTGTACTTACCCTAATGAACATTCGGTTTGGTATGGAACATTTCTCGCCTCGGCAATGAAAGAAAAAACAAAAAAAAGCAAAACAAGAAAGACTTAAGCCAAGATGAGCTAAGAAATATTACCGAAGATCTAAATCAGCTAAAAAATTGGAATTACAGGAAATAAAAAGTTTGAAGGAACTTCTTGAACAATAGATTGAAAAAATTAAAGTTCAAGGTTTGATGGAAAATGAGAACCCGTTTGCAGTTAGGCCCCTTTTAACTTGTATTCACTTTTATCGTCAGATAAAGATCTAAAGATAAGCACCAAGCTAGCTAAACGCCATTAGTGGGATAACTTTCCAAAGTTTCATGCAGGTGGTTTAAGGTAAATAGCCGGTACACGTGTTGCGGCATGGCTCTAGATTTGAGGACAAATTATAAGCACATGAAACAAAGGATAGCTTTCACAACGAAAATCAAGATGTAATTTGTAAAACTTTAAAGTAAACGTATAGCTACATGGCCCTGGATTTGAAGATCTATTGTGAACATTATAGCCTGGTTATAAGTGAGGGAATTCTAAAGATGGGGAACACGAACGATGGCGATGTTAACAATCCGTGTTGGAAACATGTATTTTCTCCTAACCTAGGCGCTTTTATGATGTGGTCTACTTTAAAATTCTTGTCTATTTTGGGGAAAGCGGTCCATTTTTGTTCTCTGGGTTTTATCCCGTATTTATATATGCGACTAATACAGAAAATTGCACCGCCATAGCAATATTGGTTACATTACATTCCTGTCTGTGTTACTTTCTAGAGTAACAACCTGAAGAGTAATAGAATTCTTGAGTATAATATTCTCTGGGGTTTGTCACCTTACGGTGTAGCTAGAGAAAGAAAAAGTTAGCGTTTCTCGGTTGAAGCATCTCTTGGTTACACCACTCTTCGGCTAGCGATACGATTGGAGTGGACTGACACTTACACTTCAATAATTTTCAAGGAGTCTTAAACTTCACAGTCCTTTTTTTAAGGTTGCTGAATTAAAGGTTTGATACGATTAACAAAAAAGCCTATTGATTACTTGTTTTGGCACCTCGCACCCTTGAATCCAGCAGCTTTTGCCAGAAAGACAAACATTATGTCTAGACATAATGTTTTTTATGTCGGGGCATGTTTATATGATAACCCGTTGGGAGGTTTGTACCAGGTACGAACGGTAACCAATCAGTAGTAAGGGCGGAGTTTGCTATGTTAAAACCAGGAGAAATTCCTTGATTCGCCCTTCTATCCCTCGCAATTCGAACGTCAAGTGCTCAAGAAATCTTTTCCCTCCACCACCCCTATCACCTTCCAACGGGCTCTCAATATTTCTTTAATTATCCAATTTATCATTAGCCTTATCCATTGTGTTTCGTGGTGGCGTTTTTTGTCGCCCCACGTTGACATTATCGGTTGATAAGTTCAGATATTCCGCTCTTTGTTATCACTTAGTTATAATTGATTTAATTAAAACTGCCACAGTTTGTGGCCAAATTGTTCCAAATCATCTGTTGTGTTTATTCTAGCATTTTCTTCACGTTGGGACATCTTTTTCGGGCAGAGCTCACGTAAAGGGACGTTTTTCTTCGAAACATGCATCGATATGAAAGATGTTTTGATTTTCAGCATTGACGTTCTTGTGAAATAAAGCCAAAGATAACAACAATAAATTTAAGCATGAAATAAATTACCTCGTTACAGCCATCTTCATGTTCAATTCAAAAATTAAAAACAATAATCAAGTTCAATCATGAGCATCGTTTTCGGGTTTATGCTCAAACATTAAACAACTTCCTTTTCATCGTTTTCTTTGGCACAATTATGTAGAAACAAAAAAAAATTGGAGGAAATCATAGAGGCAAAAGCAAAGCAACAACAACAACAGATATTTGCAATACAATGGGAGATTGTGAAAGTAAACCCTGTCAAAAAATTTTCTACATCAAAACGACATGTTCACAATCCTCAAGTTACGGAAAGGATATTTCCCTTTTCTATGCTTAATATATCGAGGAAGCGTTTTTGAAAAGATATCAAGAGTTATTTTTAGACGAGGCAAAAGATCATCAGAAAATTATGTCTAGGAGCATACCCTCAGATTATTTGTGGCATGAACTAAAAATAGCACTTTTTATCAATGTTTCATCTTTGTAGAACAACGGCAGACGTTCAAACGTCATGGGGCTCAGATATCCATTCTCCAAAATGCGAATTCATTGTATCTGTATTAACTCTCTTAGAGGTTCCATGGAGAAGTGCGAGGCTCACTTTCTAATGAGTTGTCTTTGGGCGGGCACTGTAGACAACTTTTCTTCAGTTTACTTATTTACCTTTTGTTCCTTTTGAATGATGTCGATAAAAGAAAAGTAAGGGTTGAAAAAAAAAGAAATAAAAGATCTCCTTTCAGCTGGCGAACTCAACCGATTCTAAGGGCTCGGTGGAGGAGGAATCTTTCATCCATACTGGTCAATTGACTCTAATATACTACTCCGCCCATCGCATCTTTATTTGTGTCCATAATTTGATGAGCTATAACTTACAGATTTTTGTGAAAAGTTGATGCTACCAGAATAAGTTCGAACGTTTGGATGGCCTCGGTAAAGGAAAGTCGGCGAAAAATAAAACTTCCCATGGCCTAGTTTGTCCAAGATCTTGAGGCTCCTAGTTTTACGACTAATCACGGCGAAACAAAAGGACGATACTTCAGAGTTTAGACAAAGACCACATTAGAAATAAACTTTAATAAAACTAAACATTAACTACAATATTCCTATCTTACATCTTAGCCTATGGTAAGGCGACACTACTGCGTTGAATCAATCTCACCGAGAGAGATAGCACAAAATTTAAATTGTAGGAGTAGTTTCAATTTTAAACATTTCAGCAAATTACGCAAACAACAGGCATTACATGTATTAAAACATCAACTGTAGCCGATAGAATTAGAGTCTATTTCATTTCCTCCACTATTTTACCAGCGCCAAAAGGACACAAGATGAATCAGTTCAGCATTCGAAAACGTGGCATTTAAATGTACCATGCTCTGATTGCATCGGACTGTAACAGCTAGAAAATTCTGATTTCGATGATCGATTAATGCCGATAATTGTTCGAACCTTTTTAGTCATTTCAAGTCTAAAACAATGAAGTTCTAGGGAGACCGGCCAGGAATGATGGCGTTCGAGTGACCTAACACTGCTGTATCTATTGCATAAAAGCCAAGTGGCAATTAAGCAAAATTCATTGACAAATATGCTTTTTTGGGCAAATATTTTACAAATTTAATTAATGAAGCTGACGTGACTAACATTTTAGAAGAAAACTTCTTAAATATGCTTGTATGCTGAAGTCTAAGAAATTTAAGGATTTGGAGATATCTACATTTCTCTTAAGTAATGTAAATGCGTAGTTACTGTATATTGAGCGCTTTTTGACGACTGTTTGTCTGACTGTTTTTTCGGACTGAATAGGATGTCACCAAGGTAAACCAAACGTGATTTACGGACTTTATTAGTACGTCAAAATTTGGTTTTATTGCACCAATATGTACCCCATGGCTTTGATACTCTTTTGCCATTATATATGGCGTGCCTCGTTTCCGCAAGGCTCTACGTTATTATGTTGACTTCCTGTACCAAATCCAATCAAAGAGTTACACGAATAGCAGTCGTTCTGGTCATTGCTAATGATACCAATTCTGACTTTAGAACGATCTCTCCGACCACTAAAGACATTGAATCCTTCCCTGTTACAATTGTGCTGTAAAGAGGCGTTGCTGCCAATCAACGTTTTCCACTCGTCACGACCCAGTAAGGTGTTGCGGTATTGGTCATCAGCGATTAGTGAGTGCAGAGAGTCAGCCAGCCTATTGATGACAATGAACTCGGGGTGTTTGTTGATCTTCATTCCAAGACAGATCTTAGAGAAGGAGGTGTTCCAGTAGGTAGGTAGCTTTGATTCTTGTTCGTCAAACCCAGTCTCTCCGCCGAAGAGGTTGACTTTATCGTAATTTTTCCAATAATGCGCGTCATAATGGAAGGTGGTCTGAAATAGAGGAGCAATTAATTATTGTATTTCCTCCAAATTGATGGATATTTGCTGTCGACGTCCTGTCGTATATCTGTATTTATTGATTTCGTACTGATTTGTTTTACCGTTGAATTGACCTTAGCGTTTACGACACCGTGTGGTGAAGACTAACGTCAATCTTTTTTCCAACTCGGACTCAGTGCACGACATATTTGCGAGGATTTTTGCTGTGTTTTCATTCGCACACCAATCAAAACTCACTGAAACAGTAATCGTTTGTGAAGTGAATGAAGGATGATAGACTGGTAGGAGGATAAATTATTTAAAGAATTTCGGATCTCTTTGTGTATGTATGTATATATATATATGTATATGTATATGTATATGTATATGTATATGTATATGTATATATATATATATATAAAGAAACTGTAAACTTCTGTGTCGAATGAAGATACTAAAACCAAGTATAAGCATATTGATGAATGTGCTGCGGCATTGAACCCTCAGTTCACATCTTTCCGTTTTACAATATTCTCAGCCCCTTCGAGGTCATGAGAAAGAACAAAGAGAGATTTTTTATTTCGAAATATAAACCAGTTCTTAATGACTTGAAATTACGCTAATTGCTCGCGCGCGCTTCGAATTACAATAGCCATTATATTGTTAATGTGATTACAATTAGATCAGTGACGTAACAAGTCAATAAACACACTTTGCTATGCTTGAAGAGCCGCAACAGCGGTGAAACGCGTAGCGCAAAAGCAAAGTAAAAATTAAAAGAAGACTTTTGTTTTTCATTGATTTTAGTATATATATATATATATATATATATATACACATATTGGTGTTTCATTGTGTCACGATAAAAATAACCTCCCATAAGCCTCTGTAATATCCCTATGATCCATAATCCCTCCTCATTAGCAAGTTAAGAGAGTGTCTCTGTAAGAGCGGTCCGGTCGATTTTGCTTGAGACACGGATTTCGCTCGTTTCTCGTGTGTTGTAAGACATTCATGTACCTATACTAAAACCACAATCAGTTTGATCGGATCTCTTTATTTTTCAGAGTTTTACGGAAATTAAATTTCACTCGAGCGAAGGCTTGTCGTGACACTTTTCAAGACTTTAATTTCATACAACTTTGGAGGACAATTTACAAAAAACTACGGAACTCAGCAAAAAACAAATACCACAGGCATGTATATTAACTCTATCTTATCTATCGAGGCGACTTTCGTAAACATCACGTGTCAATCAAGGAAACAGTAAGATTCGAATGACACCTTATCGGTTCGCCTAAATCACACACGCCAAAACCGATCAAATTCAAGGTAAATTTTTGAAAAAGTGAGGCGTTCTTAACTGATCCAACTAACATAGCTAGGAAGTAGGTGCCACAGAAAAGGTAACTACAGAAAAAAACTTTGCGGCCCGACCTTTACGAGAACTTTATAACTCCGTGAACTTACCTAATTTTCGGCAATCTCCAAGTTTGGCCGCCATTTTGAGGGACTTGTCAACATGAAGCGTAACCGATATAAATCAAGCAGGTAGATCTAAAACCGTCAGAAATACATACGAAAGCAATTCACATGAACTTTACTTTTAATTCAAGCGGCAAAATTTGAAATTGTTCGTTAAACTTTCAATCCCCATGCGACCATTTCTTTCAACAATTCAAACACTACAACTAGTGTTCGAATTCCCCTCGTCGATTCCACCGCAAGAAATAACCTGCCACCCAAGCTTCGACTCGAATGTGAAGTACGAATCAAGTAACATAACTGCTTCATCTTCGCGGCAATATCACGCTGGTATTTTGATTTTCCGATCGACAAGAACGGTGATCAGGAATCGATGGGTTTGTTTACCTCATAAACGTGACCGCCGACCAGCCGCTAAGTGAAAACAGCATATGGCGGGGTGGGGTGGGTGGCGGGCTTATCGTCATAAGATATTCAAATACATGCTCAAAAAGCTCTAGGACTATCAGTCTAAACAGTGAAGGCATGCTTCGTGGTACAGACAACTTTTATTTTATTCTCATAACTTTCTCCTTTAAATTAGAACTGGTATTAATTAATAGAGTTATCAATATATTTTTAACCGGGTACCCATATAACCTTTTTGCTTGTCATCAGCAGTATAAAATAAGGTGTCTTTTACACCAGAACCTTTTATTTATGCCCCATTGCACGGAATGAACACTATACGTAGAATGTTTGCTCTAAGTAATTTTTCCTGTTCGCAAGAATGTATGCAAAGTGATAGAGATTTGATTCATTCCGCTGACACGTTCTTTTAAGTTATGGCGCGTGCAGGTTTTTTCTATCAAAAGTCGCGCATGCATCACACCGGAATTGAAAATTCGTCGTAAAATCGCACGAACCTTAGAATGAGTGTAGGCAACTTTGACTTCTGGCGAGATTAAGTGGATTGTTCAAAGGACCCCTTAATATTTTTTTCAGGACTATAACTGAGATTTGTTAATAACTATGATAATCGTCATCATTAGCGGACGGTGCTTTTTGCCCATTGTTGTCATCATTATCGTTATCACGCCGGGAGAAGTATAAAGCCGGCATGTCGCCTTATCTAGCTACACAGAAAATTGTTCTCTCTTTTGCTCCCCTTGGATCCTGGAAACTGTTACTATTAAGACGATCAACAAGAAAGCCTTTATGATTATTGAAACTTTTGATTAACAGAATGTAAGAAAAATCGGTGGGGAGAGTTTTTCTTAGCACTTACACATAGATCTGGTTTTTTTCAACGTGATATGTACTTAAGTACCCTTCATCTAATAAAGAATTTCTTCTCTTTACGAGCAGATATGTCACGTGACAAAAATAGATAACAGAATATGTTACTGAAGACTAACTGATTCAACTGGAATAATAACTCCAAACAGCTTTTGAATGTCCTGAGACATATGCAAGGTAATTACATCTCTGCCTTGGTTACGCTTCCTGACACCATCATGATCAGGATACTGACATGTTACCTTTGCACTTCTCCAAAACTTCCCCAGAGTGTGGTGATGCCTATAGCAAATCCACATTTTTTTGTTTATCCTCCTGAGCGAGGTGAAATAGGCCAATCTTTGCCAAGATTAGCTCATTTTCACTTAAAAACCTCTTTAGACAGATAGAAGCTTATCAAATGATGTTTTACTTCGTCATTGCAATCAGACAGTTGTACCAAACCACTTAAGCCACACGATGAACCAAAGTTTTTTCCATCTTTGCTATTCAAAAAGGAGTCCTGAGACATAATGAACGTCTCGCTAATGAACGACTTCTTCCCGTACTTGTAATTGTTTCCAACGCGATACAAGTTCGGGAGATCTAAAGGAACTCACTGTAACTTTGTATATTCGACACGAATTCAATTTCCGCGTCAAAGGAGAAGCCTATTGTAATTCGTGAGTAGTCAGTGGTTACGCTCGTAAGGTAAAGAATGGGTTTGTGACTTTGTCACTCAATTGAAAGACTCGCGTCACTCTTATGAAATGGTTGAACGGAATACAGATTTCGAGCAGTCTCTTATTTTTCTTAAAGATAGTGAGGTCACGCGTATCCTGTGAGCATGGAGAAGCCGCGAGACGCGAGACTCGTATCTCGCGTCTTTGCCGCTCCACGCTCTCAGAGTTGGGCAAAGACAAGAAACGTTATTTCCGGTGCGATACAATAGGTTCAATGGTTATCTCGATTATCTAGACACATTCATTTACGTGGTAAAGATTTGTTTTTAAATCTATGAACTGATGCTAGTCCTATTTGGAACGAAATGTATTTGAAATAAAAAAGAATACTAAATAAAATAAAAAAAGTCTGCAACACGAAGCATGCCTTCGCATTAAGACTGAGAATCCTAATGTTTATCATGATACTTGAATGCATATGTTCGAATGTTCCCAAAAATCTTCTGAAAATCTGCCCGCACCCACCCCTCACCCCGCCCCTCGCCACTGAACTGTACTGTTTTCACTCAGCAGCTGGTCAGCGGTCACGTTTATGAGGTAAGCAAACCGATCGATTCCTGATCACCGTTCTTGTCGATCGGAAAATCAAAATACCAGCGTGATATAGCTGCGAAGATGAAGCAGTTATGTTATTTGATTCGTATTTCACATTCGAGTCGAAGCTTGGGTAGCACAGGTTATTTCTTGCGGTGGAATCGACGAGGGGAATTCAGAAAGTTGTAGTGTTTGAATTGTTGGAATAAATGGTCGCAAAAAAGTAATAGATATTTTTATCCAGTATTCAAAGTTTCTATCTTATTAAAGGCAGAACCAAGTTTATTACCAGTTGTGTTTGAAAAATAATTCATTCGAAAAATATCAAAGACCCATGATTGGGCATTTAGTTTCAAATCTGGCTGATAATATTAACAGTATAAGCCGCAGCAAATGCCAGCTCGTATTTTGTGATTTTAGAAGAAGATAAATTTCAAACGATTAAGAATCATCGATGAATTTGTATCAGAGGCACTTACCAATTAAAAAAAAAAAAGGAGATGAAGAAAAGCTTTAAGCTAATAAGCAATTATTAGATGAGGTTGAGTAAGATATCTTAAATTATCAAAACCGAGATCTGAGTTGTCTTCTGAAGCCAAAGGATGAGGGAAATCACACAGACACAAAGACAAGGTTTAATGAATAGCAATTTCATGCAAAATCGAATTCAATAATTTTCTCATTACATAGATTTTTCAAAAACCTGAGTTAGCAAACGTTTTTAAACACTACACGGAAGAGGAACTTAGAAACTAAGAGAATTTTGAACTAGAAATGATAACTGCAATGTCTGCCGTGGATATTGGGTTATCGTGTCAAGTGCACACGCCATTGTATACCGACTGAATGCTCTCAACCAATCAGATTTTTCTTTGATTAGAGGGAATTGTTAATTTATTTTATCTATATTTAATTAATCATTTGGAAACTATATTGATTGCGGTGTGACTGATTGACCGAATAATTTATCATTTGCCAAGCTTTTGCAAGCTCTGCTTTGTAGCTGAAAACAGTTCTCAGTTTTCTTTCACTTTGTTTGGCAGCACGTATGTTTTCTTCGAATACATCATTGATAAAAAAAACGGCGCCGGGGGAGCATCAATTGTTGTTTTCTTTATAGAACAATAAACAATGGGGCTTAGAAATTAAGTAGAATTTGAACTCGAAATGATAACTGCAATATCTGCTGCGGACATTGTGTTATCATGTCAACTGTACACGCTATTCTATATTGATTAAATGCTCCCAACCAATCAGATTTTTAATGATAAATTTAATGTATAATAAACTAATAGTGGTTTACCTGCACCTCTGGTAGCCTTAAATATTATTATAATGGTAAAAAGATTCTTAAAATTGCGCTGCAATGTTTGCTTTGTAATACCTATTAATTTCCATCTAGTGTATAGGGGATCCAATGCTCAATAGAAGAACAGTGCTATCGCGAATGTAGCAAGATTCTTTTTTGACTTTTCATCAAACGATTTTTTCTTCTATATTTTGACCCCAACGTTTACCTTTACATTCTCGTCCATTTCCAGTGAGTCCATGTTTACAGGTACAACTGTATGACCCTTTGGTGTTATTGCAAAATGCATGAGGACTGCAGGTGTGTAAAGTGCCAAGACACTCGTTGATATCTCCAAAATAAAACGATAAAAAGAATAGAAAAAATAGACATACAAATAGATGAACAATTTAAAAAATAGCAGCAGATATAATTGCAAGACGCTTTGTTGTTTATTCTGTGCTATTTGGTTTTTCAATCAGAAGGCAGAGGTTTTTGTTTTTGTTTTTTTATGTCTATGGATGTAGTACTGCTGTATTGGTATTTCACTCTTTATCAGAAAGTTCGAAATTATAAAATCCTCCTTTGCTCAATATTCTCAAAAAAATAACGCTCGCCCTCGCATTCTCTTCCACTCCCAAGGAATCCAGGTTTACATGTACAGTTGTAAGACCCCTTGGTATTGTTGCAATAGGCATCAGGGCTGCAAGAGTGTGACCCTCCGACACACTCATCGATGTCTATAGATTATAGCCAACAAACAATTGACGAAAATATATAAATGACTGAGAAGGTCAGCAACATTACTTGATATTCATATTTGATTTGTACAGCTTTAATGTTTGTTGTTGAGAACATCAAACAGGTTTCTGTAGCCATAGGACAGTCTGTACAACAACCAAGGATGAATGAAACTAAGAAAAAGTGATGAGTAGATTGATTTCATTTGGTGCAAAAACACTTTGATGATCAAGAAGAATTTTTCATTGTGATTTCGTCCATATATTTCTCTGTCGCGTTCACTTTCACTTTACATTTTCGTGCTGAGAGAATCGAGATGTATGTTATCATCCCTTTTGTGGATAATTTGCAAATGTAAGCTTTATTTTTTCCTCACATAACTGCTAATGAATGCAACGCCTACCTTTACATTCTCGTCCATTTCCCGTGAATCCATGTTTGCATGTGCAATTGCATGAACCTTTGGTATCGGTGCAAAACGCATCAGAGCTGCATTTTTGTAGCCCGCGAACACATTCGTTGACGTCTGAATTAAAAAAAAAAACAAATAAATGAAAACAAAATTATCGTACCAAAAAAAAACTAAAGCATCAACAACTGTAAAAACAACAATAATTGGGTAGGCCTCCTTCACATACTGTTCTTAATGTGGTAAGCGTTGTTTCTGTTTACTTATGACCACAACACGTCATTTTTGCTTTGCATCGAGTGAAAAAATGTACTGAAAATGAATCGACTAACAGCCACCTTGTCAGTCTCATGTAGCAGTGATGAGCTGCGAAACAGTTATATCTTATATCCTATTCTTTTAATCCGGAAAGTTCTGCAGGTGGTTAATTATCTTTTTGTTTGTGGCTTATGTATTTTTCTATTGTTTCATTCCTCTTACAGTGCAGCTCAGAAGATATGTGAACACGAATATGGAGAAAGGAGATGACGAGAAAAAATGACGAAAACCAAATATTTGCCATTGAGTTGTAGTGGTGAAGGAACCGCAACAAAGACCTCTTCTCCTTCGGTTTTTACTAACTAGTAAGAACGGTTTCAGCCACATAAGGACAGAAAAAGCTCTTTCATTCGTTGAGACCTAATTTACAAGTAGTGCGGTAAAGTTTTTCCTCGTTGTTGTTAAACTGAAGGTCTCAAAATATCAACATAAAAGTTGTGTTTACCTCTTTCGCAAATCGGACCCTCAAATCCAGCGGTACACAGACACCGATAACCTTTCTTAGTAAATCCGCTTTGACAAGTAGCATTGTTCTTACAAGGATTTTGAACACAGTTGCTCTGACAGAAGAAACAAACCGTTGTCAATTTCATTGCCATTATCATCATTACAATCGTTTTCATCATCTAATAGTCAACTGCACCGCTACCATCATCAATATTGCCGTGGTTATTCTTGTCATCATAGTTGTCCTCCTATTTCTATGTTTCTCCAATAACTTTAAAATGCTTTGTCTTTGAGGAGATCTTGGTGAAAAGCACAGACACAATATTACCGCTAATGTCTTGAAATAGTGAAAACAACTCAAGTTCGTAACTGAAAGTGATTATGAGATAAAGAGTTTAAAAAGAAAAACAAAATACACCAATCTGACTTTAAAATTTAAAGTAATATTTACCTCAGCTGCGTGATAAGAATACATTGCTTGTTCTATCAACTTTTCTTCGTGTCCTTCATGAGTAGCATTGTTCAGTTCACATCTATAGTTTCCATTTCCATCTGCCCGTGTATAAAGATTAATGCTGACGCAGTAGGGCTCCATGTAACACAAGTTTTCACAGAACCTAGAAACTGTTATTTCTATGGTGTGAATTGTGTGGTTTACGAGGCGTTTCCCCTTAAATGCCTTCTCAGGTCCAAACTCCAAATTACGACATTGGTCCGCGATGCAGACACCTTTGAAATGGAAATAATAATACATCAAATGCAACGTTATTGCTTATGCTGATTTGTTGAGAATTACGGAAAGCTTGGTAGGTGATATTTCACTATCAGTTGTGTTAGACTTGAATTTTTTTCTTCGTCTATTTTATTTCTATCTTGCAGAAAGTGTTACAAGAAAAGGGATATACAAACCATCGGCCATGTTTCGGGTGTTATCATGAGAGTAGGTAAACGCGTACATGGCAATTCTCTATTGTTCTTAATTAAATTGAAAATTATCTCATTCCTGTTTCGCTTCTTTTGAGGGCTTGTATTAAAGTCAGGTATCTTCGGAAAGATGGCAATCTCTGGACAGCTTGGGTCAGTGGAGGAATACGACTATGGGGGTTCAAATTCCTCGGCAGAAGTTCTGACATCGATTTTGTAATCGTCTGTGCTTCGCTTTGTAGAATTCTTACTTAATTACAGTATTGTGCAAAAGTAATGCAAACAGAATTCGGCGAATTTGGTTATTTGTTCTAACGATCTTTCGTCGAAAGTTCGAAGCCTGTTAGGCGATATTTCGTTTGAACAGAGAAAGCTTTTTCGTTGAATTTTCGCCACGACGCGAAAATTCTGCGGCGGAAAGTGTCTTTCGATCATTAGTGTTAGAAACTTCGCTTCAAACTGACAATAGCCTTCCACGAGTGATCAAGTTTGTTTAGTTATTCATGTATGCAACAATAAATATTTTTAAACGTATTTCCGACCTTTTGGACAGACAGAGACACTTAATAACTGAGACTAAACACAGTAGACAAAAGGACTAAACATCAAAAAGTTATCACGTCCGACGGACTCTAGGCTCGATCTATGGATGACAACGAAAATCGGGCAAATTGTACCAAGCGTTCGCGTCTTACAGTAATTCCGACCATGATACATGTACTTAGCTGAAATCAAACGAATCCAGATATTTTGCAGATCAACTCCAGTTTCCTGATGTTTAAACAAGCCTAAACCATGATGATTTTAGATATATGAAATTCATATATTTGCACTGCGGTGAAGAAATGAAGTTAAGAGATCCTCGCAGCTAGGAACACTACTGAAACGAGTAGTTGAAAATAGGACCTGAAAAAAAATTCAGACCCGTATGGGATTTGGGATTTCCCATGATCTCTGCGATACCGGTGCAGCGCTCTACCAACTGAGCTAACAAGCCAACTGGGAGCTGAAATCTAAAATCATCATTCATCACCTGGATGGTTTATTTGGACCCAACACATTAACCAGCTTCCAGTTGGCTTGTTGGCTCAATTGGTAGAGCGCTGCACCGGCATCGCCGAGGTCATGGGTTCAAATCCCGTACGGGTCTGTATTTTTTTCAGGTCCTATTTTCAACAACTTGTTTCAGTAGTGTTCTTAGCTGGGAGGATCTCTTAATTTCAAGCCTAAACCATCATATCCGATTCAGTGTTCGATCAGTTTACAACAACAAAAGTAAATCGGGATGAAGAGCAATTCCGACCAAGAGACATGTATTTGGTGGAAATAAACTCTCAAATGATTGGAATAGTTTTTAACCTTAACTTCAGTACTCCGCTTTTCGCCAGAGAGAGCAGAGAACGTGTTTAGAGTGTTTTCAAACGTTGTCAATCGAGAAATGGGTTCCTTGTTTATTCGTTCTCAATCCCTGTGGAAATAGACAGTACCTATATCGTTGATTGCAGTATTCTTTCCAGATGTCACAACACCTATGTTTGTTTGGAAATATTTATTCTTCTCAATTTATATATTAAAAAAAACACTAGCTTCAGAGAGCTTACAGTATTTTAGCATTTAAGCGTCCTTTGTTCTTTTTCATCCTACACAAGCAGACGTTAATAAAAGAGTGTGTAAAAGGGGTGAAATACTTTACATTTCCCAACAAAACACTGAATACTAATGAGTGAAAGCTGAAACAACTAGTATTTTGGTCACGTTGCCCTATTTTTGCGTAAATTCTGGCACCTTTTGGCAATACTTCTTTTGCACTGTTCCCACTTACACTGTTCGCTTCCATAGACAGCTTTTTAGGTCTTCCCGATTGAGGTAAATTTGCCACGGAACCGGTGAGACACAACTTTCTAATGATGCGCGAAACGCTTACTAGTAACCCTTAGCGTTTCAACGCTTTTTAATGTTTCAGCTGGGTGGAGGCCTTGCTTATGGAGGATCTTGATTTTTTTTCTAGAATAATTTGAAACTTTTGCGACGATGACTACGAAAAGTAGAGTACGTAAATGATCCCAAATGCATCGACACAATTAATACCCTAAGTGTTGCCATGGTTGTAAACGACATGGGTCGCACGGAGACTAAAAATCGTAGCGGGAAATTCTATGGGAGTTTTACATGGATCAGTAACAAACCACAAATCCAACCAAATCTTTTTGAGAAGAATGAACAATAGCAACGAATTTTCGTTCCGAATATTCCCCACATAGAGCGAATTTTCGCCCGAAATTTTGAGTCGCATTAACAACATCAAGGATTATGTCGCCGAAAGTTCGGGCCGTTCAAAACAATACATGCCTCGTACACGAAAATATTATATTTCTCCAAAGTACTAGCTGCAGGTTGATAACTGAATATTTTGACGAAAATTCGTCAGTTAATATAGGTGGATAAAGCTATTTTTTTTTTACTCCATGACGATTTCTTATAATTGAACAAAACGTTTCCCAAAAAATGATGATCACTCAATCCAAAGGTGGAGATGAATTGGATATCAGTCATACTGAAACTAACTGTGTGATCTGACAGGCCTTTGTATCATAAAGCAGAGCTCCAGTAAGAGAAGGGAGACAGAAACAGAATGCATGTTACAGAACAGGATTAAAAAAGTTCTGGCTCATTAAACGTATGCTTAAGAAACAAATTCTTTACTTGATATTACTTATCATGACAGGGGAAGTTTGAAACAATGGAAATTAGGTTATCGGCGGTTAGACCAATGGCAGTCAAAATATTTCGTATGTCAGCTGTTCTGCCTTAGTTACTGCCAGTACAATATTTTGCCTGTTAACTGCCATAATTAGGTTTTGTCACATCATTCTGTGGCCTGACAAGCTATCACGAAAAATTCATAAATAACAGTTGTAATTGTGCAGGCATATCACACGTCAGCAAATTCACCCCCACGACACCTTTCAAATCCACATTATTGTCCTATTTTAGAAATGATAAATAAAGTTTGTTAAATGATAAGCACACTGATATTTAAACCGTATGTGCTAAATTAGGATAAATTGGACCTGAAAGAATTGTTTTAGGTCACGCAACTTTCCTACAATTTTATATTCATAACAAAATCGAGCAGACGTTCAGACCGGTAAAGCTCACAAAATTTCTGTCATAATGTAATTGACTAAATTGGTTAGTCGATAAAAATGTGTGCGTTCAAGAAATGGATAGATGTAAACCTAGTCTGTGAAAATGAAGAATTCATTAGATGGTTTCCTAGGTTATCGCTTTTCAACATGCACATCAGGCGGCATTGTGAAACTTTGCCAAATTATCCTACAACCACTGTCTATTTTGGTGGTGGTAAAAACTTCCTGCTTGTCGTGATATTCGTGATGGGTAAGTTTTGTTACAAGCTAAGTTAGCCAATTCACTACCGCGATATCTCTCATATCCATATTTCTGGGAATATTTCGGTCTTCCCTTTTTCGCTCAAAAACATGTGCAACAGCTGGGATCATGATGCTTTGTTAAATTACCATAACGATGTTTATTTTAATTCTCCGGTAAGAACTTCCTGTGAATCATGTTCTTTTGTTCATATTGGAGGCAATGAATCAGCAGAAATTCATTTTCATAAGTTCAAATTAGCTTTGTTATCTACACAAGTTTTAAACTTTTCACTTGATATACACTGATACACGCTAAGACTTTCTTTCATTGCTGATATATTCGAAAAATGGAATAATGTTTTTGTTAAAATTGCTGACTTTTATTTTAAGTAATATTGTTATTATTACAATGATAATTTTAATCTCAAGAGGGAAAAGTCCTCCTTCGTAAACCCTTAGCTGTTTATTTTTATCAATTTAATTATAAAGGAAAGCACCTCTTTTGGACTCTACAGGCAAACGTTCACTTATCGATAAGAAGTTCTAAAGAACGAATTTGATGAAGTGAGTCCATTTAATTCCGATTTTGCGACGATTAGAAAAATGAAAATAAAATTAAAAAGTGCTTATTTATTCCAAATTGCACTAGAAAGATCATGTGATTACGTGTCAAAAATAACCATGAAAAAATACGAGATAGCTTATCATAATTAAGCTTAAGCAAAGCGCGCGCATCAAGTGCAAAAATAAGTTATTCAAACCGTGCGTTCGGTTTGTTACTTTCTAAGCACTGAATAAACCCTCTCCTGCACCGAATTACCTGAAAACTGCATCTATCTTAATTAACCAATCAGAACTGAGTAATTTTTTCATGTATATTGTTAAAGAAGTTATTAGATAGAGTGAAAAACCTGTCTCTTTGAAACTGTATTGTTGCTATGGTAGCCCTGATTGTTAAAAAACAAACACAGTTTGATTACAGTTCATTGAGCATTTTTGAACCTCGATTTCAAGGGAACAAACAGAAAAGTGTAGAAACTATAATCCATCGAAAAGAATAGTTTTTTTCAACTAACGAAACCATTTGAACCTTAACAAACTTTGTATCCTGACTCATTTGATCGCAGCCTCTCGCAACCATTGTTCCACATTAGAAGGACGATTTTTTTTAAGTTCGGGGGAAAATTTGATATAGATAGTTTCGTGAAATACCTGTGCATAATAATTTCATTGCATGAAGAAATTATTATTTTTAGATATTTGTAGAAGTGTTTTTACCTGCAGCAAACATTCTGAAATTTTCAAAAATAGTGCATTTTATAATTTTTTTACGGTTTGTTTTTATTATTATCATCATTATTATTTTATTATTACTATTTATTCATTTATTTATGGAACA